AGGGGTCTGCAAACTTTCTAACTGAAGGGCCGAATTACTGTCCTTTAGACTATAGGGAGCCGCACTCATTGATGGCGTAAAACACGCATATCCTTAACCCCTTGACGCCAATGTAACACAAATATGCGGCCTCACAGAACTGGGCTTTTTTCCATCAGGCCGCATATTTGAGTACCTGTCTATGTGCTGGGAGCGTGCCGCACGGCGCGCTCCCAGCACAAAGACCGCAGTGTCACTGAGAGTACCGGGTCCCGTTCTAATGATCGGGACCCAGGACTACCGATTCCGGGTCACATGAACGCTGTGATAGCCTCTGATTGGCTATCACAGTGATCAGTCACTGTACAGCCTGGCCCCTTGTTTTTTTTTTTCTCTCTATGAATGGAAGAGAGAGATACATTGTATCTCTCTAATGCAGGCCATAGATGGGGAGAAAAACTGCAGATTTTTCTTTTAAAAAACGAAAAATCGGTTGTTCAAGTGGCCGACGTTACCATCAATGGTAAAAAAAAATCGGCCGATTTTCTACCCGTCTAGAGCCGGCAAAAAGTGTCCCTGCAGAGAGCTCTGCTATTTCTTTGACAGTTCCTTGACATTTATAGAAGTTGCAACAATGTATCTATTTGTTTCCATTTAGGATACAGATGTTTTTATTCGGAAACAAATAGATACAATGTTTCAACCGCTGTAAATGTCAAGTTTCTGTCAGAGAACTGTCAGAAATAGCGGAGCTCTCTGCAGAGACACTTTTTGCTGGATTGGAATTCTTCTTATTTTCATCCTACTTCTTCTTCTTCTTCTTCATCCTCATCCTCATCCCTCTTCTTCTTCTTCTTCTTCTTCTTCTTCTTCATCCTCATCCTCTTCTTCTTCATCCTCATCCTCTTCTTCTTCTTCATCCTCATCCTTTTCTTCATCCCCATCCTCTTCTTCTTCATACTCATCCTCTTCTTCTTCTTCATCCTCATCCTCTTCTTCTTCATCCTCATCCTCCTCCTCCTCCTCCTCCTCCTCCTTCTTCTTCTTCTTCCTCATCCTCATCCTCTTCTTCTTCTTCTTCTTCTTCCTCATCCTCGTCCTCTTCTTCTTCTTCATCCTCTTCTTCATCATCATCCTCTTCTTCTTCCTCATTCTCATCCTCATCCTCTTCTTCTTCATCATCCTCATCCTCTTCTTCATCATCCTCATCCTCTTCTTCCTCTTCTTCTTCATCCTCATCTTCTTCTTCTTCATCCTCTTCTTCATCCTCATCCTCTTCTTCTTCTTCTTCTTCATCCTCATCCTCTTCTTCTTCTTCTTCTTCTTCATCCTCTTCTTCATCCTCTTCCTCTTCTTCTTTTTCTTCTTTTTGTCTTCCTCTTGCAGGTCACTGCTCATGCGCAGATTTTTTATCGGTAAAAAATCGGCCGATTTGCCCACTAATTGCCGCGAAAATCGGCCGATCGGCAAAATCGGCCGATTTTTTTTCCAACTTTACCGAAAAACAAAAACGGCCAAAATACCGAAAAACGGCCGACCAAATCGCCCACTAACGATCCGAAAATCGGCCGATTTTTATTTTCGGCCGAAAAATCGGCCGATTTTCGACCCGTCTATGGCCTGCATAACTCCTGGCATTGACGGGGAAAAAAAAAAAGAAATAGATAAATAAATAAATATTAAAAAATAAAAGAAAAAATAAAGAAAAAATACCTAGATCAAGGTTTGATCTAGTTCAGTGCCAGGGTAAGTGTTTGGGACAAGGTCAGGGTCAAAGGTCAAGGTCAAAAGGTCAGGGTCAAAGGTCAGGATTAAAAAAATTGATGTCAGTGTGTTTTAGGTAAAAAAAAGACAAAAACAAAATGCGCACTATTGTTTCTGGGCTGTACTACGGGTACAAACAACAAATAACATACACATATATGGTATCACTGTGATCGTCAAGAGCTGGAGAATTTATTTTGGGTTGTTCTTTGATGGTAGGTTATGGTAGTAACAAGAAACACACAGCTAAATTTTAAAAAATGCGTTTTTTACTATTTTGGGCCAGTTTTCCTTTGATAATAAAAAAAAAAAAAAATCAGGAGATATCCATTACCATTTACCACCAAATGAAAGCCCAATTTGTCCTGAAAAAAGCAAGGTATAATCCACCTGGAAGAACAAAGTAGTTGTGATGATATGGACGGTTTTACTAACATGTTAACGTTGCAAAATTGTGCTTAGACATTAAGATTTGTTTTACCCTTAGGGGGGAAGGGGTTAAGGCTTTCCACCACTGCACAGCTTCCTTTAGAAGGGCAATATATCTGATAAGAGGTCCACTTTAACTCTTTCAATGTATTCCATGACTAGGTCCACCTGGACCACCAGGGAGCACTGGACAAACTGGACCAAGAGGAGGTCAGGGACCAGCAGGACCAAAGGGAGAAAGAGGAGACAAAGGAGCTCCAGGTAAGCCCTGAACTGTAGAAGAGCCATCACTTGCCCGCCAATTCCGGGAATACCACCATTCTATGACGCAAGAGCCTACATTTACCAGTTTAAATACAGGAGAAACATGAACATCAGTAACAGGAAACTATACTGGCTTTTTGACAGTTTAATTAAATTTTTTTTTTCTTTATGATTTTTTAAAACTGATATTTTAGAACTGTTTTTATTTTTTTTATTATGTACATAATTTTTTTTGTTTTACAATTAAACAAGGTAATGCCGGACCAACTGGAGCGAAAGGAGAAAAAGGAGCTAACGAAACACCAGGTAATTGGGAACTTTGTCCACTAAAGTGAACGCTGTGTGCTTACTTGAATCATTTCTATGGCATTCTGAAAATTAAATCCAAAAAAGATGGCTTTTTTTTCTCATTGATATTTTACCGATAATTAGAAGAATCACAGAAAGGAATAAATTCACCAGAGCCGAATGTGAACTGTATAATTAGGTCTTCGATATAGTCCATTGGGTCACATCAAACATCCATTCCTTCTTTATTTGGGAGATGATAATGAACCCCTCCTGTCCAAGTGTAAAAAAGAATGTGACTGTGAGGCCGCAAGGGCCCCCTGGAACATGGCACGAGGACGCCATTGTGACCTCTGATGCTACACCAGTGGTCGGGGGGGGGGGGGGTGAATAAAAACACATCTAATTGTCTTGAATCACAATGTAAACAAGCCCTTACTGTCCTGAGCCCCTTATGAGGTTGCTTTCACAATGACGTGCTGCGGTTTACCCGCACCATGGCTACAGCACAGTGCACCTGTGGCTTTCCTGCAGGTTAGCTGTGCTTTGCCATTGACTTCTATTATATCTTATGGATGTTGCACATTTCTGAAAACACACACCAAAACTCCTGTATTCAGTTTGAGGGCCACATCAGAGGGCTCTGAGGGCCACATGTGGGTTGAGCACCCCTGGTATAGGCCACTGGGTCCCTAGGTATACATGGGCTCATACTTGGGGTAATATGGTAAATAGGGGCTATTCTCAGATCTGCAATATTTGCCGTTTGGCATCTATATTTAAGGGAGCTAATTTTAGGGACCGAGTGGTTTTGTCAGGGCTCCGGGGTGTGACCAGAGGTATGTGACTGACGCAGGGAAACGCAGGCTTCAGATATGTTATAAATATAATTTATTAACACTAACAATACAAACAAACGCAGTGCAATACTAAAACATAACACAGTGCAAACAAACCAAACCAACCACCCACAGATAACAGTACATACAATGCAAGCGTCGTCAGGCAGGCCGGGATTATCAACAGGAGGTCAGAACGTATGGGGTTAAGCAGGCGAATGGTCAGACAAAGCCAGGGATCAGGAGCAGGAGAATGGTCAGACAAAGCCAGGGATCAGGAGCAGGAGAATGGTCAGACAAAGCCAGGGATCTGGAGCAGGAGAATGGTCAGACAAAGCCAGGGATCAGGAGCAGGAGAATGGTCAGACAAAGCCAGGGATCTGGAGCAGGAGAATGGTCAGACAAAGCCAGGGATCAGGAGCAGGAGAATGGTCAGACAAGCCAGGGATCAGGAGCAGGAGAATGGTCAGACAAAGCCAGGGATCAGGAGCAGGAGAATGGTCAGACAAAGCCAGGGATCAGAGCAGGGTCAGCAACGAATCAGACAGGAATAGGAACAGGGAGCAGGAACAGGATACAGGGCCCAGGAGAAACACACACCAAGGCAGAGTCTGCAGGTCTGTCCATCCCTTAAATACACCAGTATAATCAGTTCCAGGTGTTTGACTGGCTGCAAGGTTGAGTCTCTGATTGCTGGGAGCACCCACTGGCCAGCCCTGGTACTGCAGCTCATAAGGCAGGTGAGTCCCACCATTGCTGGCCAGTCCGTTCCTGACAGTACCCCCCCCCCCCCCTCAAGGAGCGGCCTCAGGACGCTCCAAACAGTCCTAGCTGGGCAAAATGTTCCACCGCCCGGGTCTGGTAACTGGCCGGATATCAAAGACTGGCACACCGGGCAGGACTCCGGGCAGTGGCACACCGGGCAGGGGCACACCGGGCAGGGGCACATCGGGCAGAGGCACACCGGGCAGAGGCACACCGGGCAGAGGCACACCGGGCTGGACTCCGGGCAGAGGCACACCGGGCTGGACTCCGGGCAGAGGCACACCGGGCTGGACTCCCGGGCAGAGGCACACCGGGCTGGACTCCGGGCAGAGGCACACCGGGCTGGACTCCGGGCAGAGGCACACCGGGCTGGACTCCGGGCAGAGGCACACCGGGCTGGACTCCGGGCAGAGGCACATCGGGCTGGACTCCGGGCAGAGGCACATCGGGCTGGACTCCGGGCAGAGGCACATCGGGCTGGACTCCGGGCAGAGGCACATCGGGCTGGACTCCGGGCAGAGGCACATCGGGCTGGACTCCGGGCAGAGGCACATCGGATTACCAGGCGGAGCAGCAGGCAGCGGGCCACCAGGCGGGGCGACAGGCACCGGGCCCCCAGGCGGGGCGACAGGCATCGGGCCCCCAGGCGGGGCGACAGGCATCGGGCCCCCAGGCGGGGCGACAGGCATCGGGCCCCCAGGCGGGGCGACAGGCATCGGGCCCCCAGGCGGGGCGACAGGCATCGGGCCCCCAGGCGGGGCGACAGGCATCGGGCCCCCAGGCGGGGCGACAGGCATCGGGCCCCCAGGCGGAGCGGCGGGCACCGAGTCACCAGGCACAACAGTGGGCTCCGAGTCAACTGGTATGACCGCTGGCACTGGGTCAGACATTGGATCTTCTGGCTGGACAGCGGGCATCAGACTGAAGAGAGGCATCAGGCTGAAGAGAGGCATCAGGCTGGGTACAGGCATCAGGCTGGGTACAGGCATCAGGCTGGGTACAGGCATCAGGCTGGGTACAGGCATCAGGCTGAAGTGCGGGTGCCGAGGCACCAGGCTGAACCACGGAAGGCAGGTTCTCAGACGGCAGGCTAACCGGTTTGGATACTGGCAGGATGGTATTGGTTGGAAAGAATTTTCGCTTTTTTCTGGTTTTAACTACTGGAGCACTGCAAGTAAACGCAGGTCTGCAAACGAATGGAGCAGCTGGAGACAGAGAAGAGATGGAGGATGGAACAGAGGAGGGAGCAGTTGCTACAGAGGGCTTTTTTACAGGGTTAAAGGCAGGATAGGTGCAGCGAGTGGGAACAGGGTACTGACATGCGGTAGATAGCAGGGCAGGAGGAGCTGTTGGGAATGCAGGAATAGAGCTTTGAGGAAATAGATTAGAAGCAGGACTGGGTTTTTGTAAGCTGACTGAGGCTGGGTGCAACAAGTCTGTCCATGTCTGCAGTATGGGTTGAACAAAGCTGAGCTTACACAAAGCCTGTCTGACTAAAGACTGCACTGCGTTTATACAATCTCTTAGTATCTGTGGTGAACATGCAGCATAATGCTCCAAGAAGCAATCCACATCATCCTCTAATAACCACACCAGGGACTCTACCTGGTCGGCACTAAATGGCGGCAAAAATTCATCCCTGCATTCGGGGGTACCAGATGAAACCAACTCCACACAAATCTGAATCAATGGCTGCACCTCAGAGAATTCTGTGCCCTGATCTACTAGAAACATGAGCGAGCCGTATACATTCTAGCAGTTCATCCCGGGGATACTCCTTCAGAGTTTGATAAGTATACTCCCTGTCATCAAACACTAGCAGATATAAATACACAACCTCATCAAGATCCATCCTTCCCATCAACAAACCAAGATGGCTTCCCTGTGCAGCCACTTCTGGTCAGGATTGGCCTTGGTGTAATGTCAGGGCTCCGGGGTATGACCAGAGGTGTGTGACTGACGCAGGGAAACGCAGGCTTCAGATATGTTATAAAAATAATTTATTAACACTAACAATACAAACATAAACGCAGTGCAATACTAAAACATAACACAGTGCAAACAAACCAAACCAACCACCCACAGATAACAGTACATACAATGCAAGCGTCGTCAGGCAGGCCGGATTATCAACAGGAGGTCAGAACGTATGGGGTTAAGCAGGAGAATGGTCAGACAAAGCCAGGGATCAGGAGCAGGAGAATGGTCAGACAAAGCCAGGGATCAGGAGCAGGAGAATGGTCAGACAAAGCCAGGGATCAGAGCAGGAGAATGGTCAGACAAAGCCAGGGATCAGGAGCAGGAGAATGGTCAGACAAAGCCAGGGATCAGGAGCAGGAGAATGGTCAGACAAAGCCAGGGATCAGAGCAGGGTCAGCAACGAATCAGACAGGAACATGAACAGGGAGCAGGGAGCAGGGAGCAGGATACAGGGCCCAGGAGAAACACACACCAAGGCAGAGTCTGCAGGTCTGGCCATCCCTTAAAATACACCAGTATAATCAGTTCCAGGTGTTTGACTGGCTGCAAGGTTGAGTCTCTGATTGCTGGGAGCACCCGCTGGCCAGCCCTGGTACTGCAGCTCATAAGGCAGGTGAGTCCCACCATTGCTGGCCAGTCCATTCCTGACAGGTTTTGTTTTAAATTCATTAATTAAAGTAGAACTGCACTGTATCTGAGCACCAGAAACCAAAAATGCTATATAATTCATTTTTAATATTCAAAGCAACCCCCCCCCCATTTCCCCCCACCCCCCATCCATCCATGTACCCATGTTTTATTTTGCTGGGAAATCATTTTGAAAAACACCCCCTGGGCGCTTCTGGCAGTGGCCATCTTGAGTAAGGGCAGGTGATTTATGTAGCATTTACTTCCTGGAATCCATCTGCCCTTAGCTCAGCAATAGGCTGAGCTGAGAACCCGCCCCTCCTGAAGACTCCTGGGATGTATGACATCATTTGCCTAGGCATGGAAACCAGGAAGTAACTGAAGAAATGTAGCAAAAAGTTTAAAAGAAGTAAATATGATATACTTTCCTTTCTATCTACTAGCAGCATAAGGATAAAAATGATCCATTTGATTGAAAGAGTGAAGTTCCATTTTAACCCCTCGCCTACAGGGCACTTATACCCCCTTCCTGCCCAGGCAAATTTCCAGCTTTCAGCGCTATCACACTTTGAATGATTAATTGCGCGGTCATGCAACACTGTACCCATATTAATTTTTATCATTTTTTTGTAACAGATAGAGCTTTATTTTGGTGGTATTTAATCACCTCTGGGATTTTTATTTTTTTAAACAAACTAAAACCACTGAAAATTTTGAAAAAAAGATGTTTTTTCTTAGTTTTTGTTATACAATTTTGTAAATAAGTGATTTTTTCTCCTTCACTTATGTGCGCTAATGAGGCTGCAGTGATGGGCACTGATAGGCTGCACTGATGGACACTGATAGGTGGCACTGATGAGGAGGCACTGGTAGGTGGCACTGATGGGCATTGACAGGCATCACTGATGGGCACTGAAAGGCAGCACTGATACATGGCACTGATATATAGCACTGATAGGCAGCACTGACTGGCACTGTTAGGCGGCACTGACTTGCACTGTTAGGCGGCACTGACTTGCACTGTTAGGCGGCACTGATGCGCACTATTAGGCAGCACTGACTGGCACTGATAGGCGGCACTGACTGGCACTGATAGGTGGCACTGATTTGCAGCACTGATAGGTGGCACTGATTGGCATTGATGGGTGACACTGAAAGGCAGCTCAGATGGGTACTGATATGTGGCATTGATGTGCACTGGTAGGCACTCACTGATATGTGGCACTGATGTGGCACTGATGGGCACTGGCACGAGGCACTGATGAGCACTGACATAAGGCACTGATGGACAATGACAGGTGGCACTGCTGGGGCTACACTGGTCATCAGGGCACACTGATCATCAGTGCCCTGATGATCAGTGTACATGTCCTCTCCGCCGAAAGCCAATTACCGGCTCTCCTCTCCTCTCGAGCTGTCAGCGTGACAGCTCGAGAGGAGAGAAATGCCGACAAACCGGCATTTCCCTGTTTACATGTGATCAGCTGTGATTGGACACAGCCGATCACATGACCGAGCCGACATCTTCGGATCTTTCCGTGATCGGTGATCCGCTGTGTCCGAGGGACACACTGCACCGCCGATCGCCGCGCTGCGCTTTCCTGAGCCGCGCATGCGCAGTGAGAATTCTTTTCATTGATTCATTTTCAAATTCGATTTGAATTTTGTGAATTCAGTAGAATTGAATTCAATTTGTCCCAATTCGGAAAATTTAGAACCGGCATTCGAATTCAAATTTATTCTAGTGAAAAATTTAAATTTTATGGTGATGTTATATTCTATTTTTTTCCATTCTATTCTATTCTTTTCTTTTCCACTCTATTCTGTTCTTTTCTATACTAATCTATTCTGTTCAAATTCAGATTTATTCTATTCAAATTTCAGAAGACTGTTATAGTCTTTTTATTCCAATCTGTTCTATTGTTTATTTTATTATTTTCTATTCTACTGTATTCTTTTATTTTCTATTCTATTCTGTTCCATTCAAATCTATTCTATTAGAATTCAAATTTATTCTATTCAAATATCAGAAGACAATTATATTCTTTCTATTCAATTCTATTCTATTGTTTTTTTTTCTATTCTATTATTTTCTTTTATTTTCTATTCTATTCTGTTCCATTCAAATGTATTCTATTTGCATTCAAATTTATTTTATTCAAATTTCAGAAGACTGTTATATTCGGTCCACTTAATTCTATTCCATTGGTTTCTCTTTTTTATTATTTTCTTTTCCATTATCTTCTGTTCTATTTGAAATTCAATTTTCTCTATTTGAAATTCAAATTTATTCTATTCAAATTCAAATTTAAGTAGACAGTTATATTATTTCTATTTGTATTCTATTCTGTTTTATGCTATTTTTTTATATCCTATACTTTTCCATTCTATTTTATTTTTTGTTCTATTTTTTCTAATCTATTGCCTCATCTTCAACTCTTATTTATTTTCAGCCGACCTCGAAACCTGCCCCCCCGACCTCACCACCCCCCCCACAACCACACCCCGCAGCCTCCCAAAAAAATTTCTAAACCAACCTCGAAACTCGCCCCACCAAGCTCACCACCCCCATCCACCCACCCCCCCCAAAAAAAAACTATCTCAGACAACCTCGAATCCCCCCCCCCGACTTCACCACGCCCGCCCTACCCCCCACCCCCCCAAAAGAATATCTCAGCCGACCTCGAAAAACTCGCCACCCCGACCTCACAACCCTGGCCCACCCCCCCCAAAAAAAATTCTCACTGACCTCGAAAACCGCCCCCCCCCCAACCTCACCACCCCCGCCCTTCCCTCCACCCCCGTAAAAAACAACTCTCAGCCGACCTCGAAACCAGCCCCCCCCCAACCTCAACCAACCCCACCCTATCCCCCCCACTTTCCAAAAAAAGCCGAGCTCGAAACATGCACCCCTGACTTCACCACCCTCACCCCCACCCAGCCCAAAACCCCCCAAAAAAAAAACATCTCAGCTGAATCCGAAACCCAATCCCCCCCCACCTCACCAACCCTGCCTCACCCCCCACACACCCCCCAAAAAAAAAATTTCACAGACAACCATGAAACCCGCCCCGCTGACCTCAACTCCTCCTCCCCACCCTCCACCCCCCAAAAAAAAAAAAAAACTCTCTCAGCCGACCTCGAAACCTGCCCCAGGACATCACCACCCTAACCCCCCCACCCCAAAAACCAAATATATCTCACCCGACCTCAAAAAACCCGCCCCCACCTCACCCCCCCGCCCCCACCTCCCTCACCCCCCAAAAAAAACACATTACTCAGCCGACCACGAAAAACCCCCCCCGACCTCCCCACATCGCCCCACCCCCCACAACCGCCTTTAAAAAAATTTCTCAACCGACCCTCGAAACCAGCCCCACCAACTCAACACCACCCCCACCACCCAACCCCCCCAAAAAAATTATCTCAGCCGACCTCGAAACCCACCCCCCTGCCCCCCACCTCCCATGCCCCACCCCCCAAAAAAACTATCTCAGACAACCTCGAATCCTGCCCCCCCGACCTCACCCTGCCGCCCTACCCCCCACCCTTCCAAAAGAATATCTCAGCCCACCTCTCAAAATCCGCCACCTGACCTCACAACCCCAGGGCCCCACCCCCCAACAAATGTTCTCATCCGAACTCAAAACCCCCCCCCCCTGACCTCACCACCCCCCCCCCCCCCCCATCCCCAAAAAAAAAACTTATCTAAGCCAAACCTCAAATACCACTCCCACCTCAACACCCCCCGCCCCACTTCTCCCAACCAAAAAAACCCCCCTATCACAGACGACCTCATTATCTACCCCCCCCGACTTCACCACCCAACCCTACTTCCCTATCCCCAAAAAAATTATCTCACCAACCCTCAAAATCCCCCCCCACTTCCCCCACCCCCCAAAAACAATCCTATCTCAACCGTCCCAAAATCCACCCCCCACCCACCCCACCCCCCGCCACACTCCCCCCACCCCAAAAAACCCCCTATCTCAGCCGACCCCCGAAATCCACCCCCTGACCTCAAACAACCCCACCACTCCTGCATCCTAAAAAAAAAATATTTCAGCCGACCTTGAAACAGCCCCCCCCCAACCTCACCACCCCCCCCACCATCTCCCCCCACCCCTAACCCCCGCCCCCCCTATCTCTAGCCCCCCCAAAAAAACCCCTAAACATATAAAATAAAAATCTCAGCCGACCCCGAAATCTGCCTCCCGACCTCACCACCCCCCCCCCACCCACTCCCCCCCCCCCACCCCCCCCCCCACCCAACACCAAAATCCACCTCCCGACCTCACCACTCCTGCCCCACTCCCCCCATCCCCAAAAAAAAAACCTATCTCAGCCGACCTCGAAATCCCCCCAAACTCACCACAACCCCCACCCCACAAAAAACCCTATCTCAGCTGACCTCAACATCCAACCCCCCGACCGTAAAACCACCGCCCCACTCCCCTGATCCCCTAAAAAAAAAAAAAAACCTATCTCAGCCGACTTCTAAATCATCTCCCCCCCAACTTCACCACCCCTGATCCACTCCACCCACCAAAAAAAACAACCCATCTCAGCCGACTTCGAAATCAGCCCCCCCAACCTCACCCCCCCGCCCCCCCCCTCCCTCCATCCCCCCCCCCTATCTCAGCCGACTCAAAATTACCCCCCCCGACCTCACCACCCCCCCCCCAGTCCCCCCCCCCCACCAAAACCCCCCCCTATCTCAGCCGACCTCGAAATCCCCCAGCTCCCCCGCGACCTCACCCCCCCCGCCCAACTCCCCCCCCCCAAAAAAAACGTAATTCACAGTTCCTATCTCACCAGAATGCAAACCCCCCCCCCCGACCTCACCACCCCCCACCACACCAAAAAAAACCCTATCGCCAGCCTCACCCTCAAAATCCCCCCCCCCCGACCCCAGCCCCCCGCCCCACCCCCATCCCCCCAAAAAATCCTATCCCCCCCCCTCGAAATCAGCCCCCACCCCCCCACTCATTTTCCCCACCACACTCCACCCACCCCAAAAAAAACCTATTTTCCCGACTTCAATTTCCACCCCCCCCGACCTTAACCCCCCCACCCCCCACCCCCTGACCCCCCCCCACACCCCCCCCACCCCGCCCCCCCCCCACCCCCCCCCCCCCCCCCCCCCCCCCCCCCCCCCCCCCCCACCCCTACGCACACCCACCCCCACCCCCCCCTCCCCCCAAAAAACCACACCACTCAGACCCTCAAAATCCACCCCCCCTTAACCACCCCCTGCCCCCCCCCCCTACCCCCCACCCCCCTACTAACTACATTGCCACCTCACCCCCCCCAGCCCCCCAATTCCCCCCCCCCGTCCCCCCTCCCACCCCACAAAATATCCCATCCTATCTCCTCACCAACCCTCAAAAAAGCATCCCCGCCTTCACCACCCCCGTCCCCTAAACCCCCCCAAAAAACACCCTATCTCAACTGAGCTCCCCCCACCCCCCACCTCAACCACCACCCCCCCCACCGACCCCCCCTCCCCCAACCCAAAAAAAAAACCTAATTCAGCCCCCCTCGAAATCACCCCCAACCCCTCACCCCCTAACCCCAACCCTATCTCAGCCGACTCCCATCCACCCCCCAGACTTCCCCACGCCCCCATCCCCCAAAAAAAAACCTCAACTGACCTTGAAATTGGCCTCCCCGACCTCACAACCCCCACCCCACTCCACATAACCCCCCTCCCCTTCCCCACCCCCTCCCCACCTGGGCGCAATCCCCGCCTCCCCGATTCCATCACCACCGTGCCCGCCCCCCCCCCCCTCCTCACACCACACCCCCTCAGCCCCCTACCCAACCCCCCCCCAACCTCCCAACCCCCTTCCCCCCCCTCCATACCCCCCTCCCCCTGTCCCCCCCCCTCACCCACTCCGACCCCCCGCCTCACCCCCCCCCCCTTCCCCCCTCCCCACCCCCCCCCCAATTCCCCGATCCAACCTCAACCCTTTTCCCCCCCCCCCCACCCCCCACACCGCCTCCTAACCCCCACTCCCACCCCCCCAACCCCTCCACCCCCCCCCATCCCCCCTATCCGCTGCCCCCCCCCCCACCCCTCCTCTCTAGACCACCACCCCCACCTAACTCCCCCCCCACGCTCCCCCCAACCCCTCCCCCCCCTCCTTCTCCCCCCC